TGTCACAACTACCTTCTGAGTCAGGTGTGGTTCCACGACAACGTGTGTCAAAAAGGGTTGGTTGCAAAGCTCGAGCAGTATTTGAGTATGATGGAAATGGGTAAAAAATCATCGAATTCGAAGAAAAACATTGTCATGCCCTAGCATTGGAGACACATTATCTCAACGCAAACCGGCAATTGAATTACGGACACCAGAAATTTGTTCTTAATTGTGTGAGAGCAAACATCGGCACAGCTAAAAGCCATAGATTGTACAAGGAGATGCTTGGGGGAGATGCAAACGTTGGTGCTCTCAAAACTGATTTCAAGAACTACAAGAGAGAACTTATGACTTACATGTCAGGAGCAGATGCACAACTCATCGTTCAAAAATTCCACAACAAGTAAGAAGTATGCCCAGACATGTCATTTGAGTACACAGTTGATGGAAATAACAAATTAAGCAAGATATTTTGAGCAGACTCAATTTCAAGAAAAAATTACCTGATGTTTGGAGATGTCGTCTCATTTGATGCAACCTACAACAATAACAGGTACCTCAACTCTTATTGGTAACTACTGCATATAAAAACAATAATTATCTTATTGTTAAAGTTGTGATAATACATTTGCAATATGTTCAAATTATAATAATATCTCTGATTGTTATAGTTGTGAGTGTAATGAATTAAATATGCAACATGGTTAAACTAACTAGGCACTGAAATAATTTGTGATAATACAAACTATGCATATTAAATTGCAAAAACTATGCATTCATTTATAACTAAGTATGCATCAATGTATATATAGAAATAAGTGTAGATGTTTTATTTTGAGACAGAATAGTCTGCATAACTGACTGCAAAAAAGCTTGCAACTCTATGACAATAAGTTTGCAACACAAGACAATTAAGTATGCATGTTTTTATAACTAAATATGCAACTAGTGTAAATTTACATAATGTCATAACTAACTAATTTATATTTTATACAGGTACAACATGGTGTTTGTACCATTTACTGGAATAGACAACTATAAAAAGTGTGTAACATATGCAGCTGGATTGATTGTTAAAGAGGATGAAGAAACCTATGTTTGGCTGTTGGAAAATTTCCTAAAGGCTATGGGATATGAACCATATTACATTGTTACCGACCAAGATCCCACCATGAAGAATGCTATCCGGGCAACTTTCAAACATGCGAGACATCGTTTATGCATGTTGCATATTATGGAAAAGGTAAATGTAAAGGTTGGTCCTACTTTAGCCAAGGATAATACATTCATCAAAAGATTAAATGACATAGTCTGGGATATTTATATTACCCCTTCTGAATTTGAAGAAAAATGGGGAAATTTGATGAATGAGTTTGCCTTAACAGAAAATCATTGGTTTCGTAAGTTGTTTGAGATTAGAAAGTCATGGATCCCAGCATACTTTAGAGATGTGCAAATGGGTGGTTTGCTTAGGACAACGTCCAGATCAGAAAGTGCAAATAGTTGGTTTGGAAGTTACATATCTCAACATGCAAACTTAGTTGAGGTTTTTATGCATTTTGAAAGTGCAATAGATGCACAAAGGCACGTTTTACGTAAAATGCACCATGAATGTGTGTCTACACCTCCTGACTGCAAGACACCATTAGAAATAGAGAAACATGCTGCAAAAGTTTATACTAAAACAGTATTTTCTGAGGTACAAGAAGAAATTGAGGCAGCATGTTTTCGGTGTGTGCCTATCCAAATCCAAAAGGAGAATGATGTAACAAGATATAAAGTTGTGGAAATTAGTCGTGGTGATATTGATTTCATTGTAGATAAATGTCTGGATTTTGTACATTGCAGCTGCAAGATGTTTGAACAATTTAGATTATTATGTCGTCACATACTAATGTTCATCAAGGATTTAGACAGAATACCAGATCGCTACCTTCTTAATCGTTGGTTGAAAGCTGCATCTTCAGGTAATGAGTTTGAAAATGGAAAATTAGCTGCAGTACATGGCAACAATCATCGAAAGAGCTATTTAAACAGATTGTGGTCTGATTTTCATTGTTGTGTATCGCTTGCTGAAGATGATGAGAATAATTTGGCTAGGTTATCTAGGGTTCTCAATGAGGAAAAGAATTACTTGTTGGGTGGACGACAGGATGGGGGTTCAGTCTTAAGCAAAGAAGCTGTTATGGAAGATTTTTGCGGTTCAGTTTCAAATCTGGAAGTAAATATCCTTCCTCCAAAGCAAGCAAAGAACAAGGAAAGTGGAAGCACCACAAGAAGCCGATTGTTGTCACAACGAGAAAATTTAATTAAAGAAGACCAAAAGCTGAAAAGGCGTTGTGGAAAATGCAGAAAAATAGGAAATCATAATAGTAGAACTTGTACTAAGACCAATGAGAATTCTGATTGTAACACCTAGTTATTTGATGTTTTGTTATCAGATATTATATGATGTATAGAGAAATATTAACTCTTCTTTAAATTGCTTTCTTTACATAAATATGCATCTTAGTTACACTAACTATGCATCTCTTGTACACTATTTAGGCAAGGAAATTACAATAAAATAGCAACATGTTTACTGTAAATTCAGAAGATAGTTTTCACATCTTACTTACACTAAATATGCATCATCTGTACACTATATATGCAATGATATTACAATAAATGAGCAACATGTGAATAACCATGCATTCATTAGTAGGTTTTTTAATCTTTCCAATAAATATGTATCTCTTTAACACTAACTATGCATCTCTTTTACAATATATATGCAACAAACTTATAGAAAAATAGCAACAAATATACAGTTACCATGCAAGAATGGAGTATCTTTAGCATCTTTACTATTTATGCAGTCCCTCAAATCTAAACATGCACTGTATTATAATATACACCTACCCGGTTTATAAAGGCTAATATGAAACATCCTTAAGCTAAAGATGCACCTATTAAAACCTAAATATGCAACTTGTTTGACCTAAATATATAAAGTACAATAACTAACTTTCCATACACTGATTATAAAAAAAGGCATCTCATCAGAAACTTAAAATATCATTAGAAACTTAATTCATTACAATCAGCAACATTCAATTTACATCAAAAACCATTATCATCAACCCACCAACTAAAACCATTCATCAAAATATTATCAGCATGCTGATAACAAAACATTCATCAAAAACATCAACAAAACCATCTTGTCAAAACATTTACACAAAAATTATTGTTCAACAAACCAACAGATCAACACCTGGATATACCCACAAACTCTAACTCCGTGACAGGCTTGCTTTTCTCAAGATACGCACGTGCCTTCTGTTTGTTTTCCTTCTTCAATTCATTGATTTCATTAAGAACAATGTCAACACAATATCGAATGTGCATTTCCTTGATTTTTTTCAGGATTGTCCTTCATCAGCCCAAAATCCTACCCTCTTACACCACCTTCCATGTACGTCTCCATGTGACACATAGTAAAGATGCCATAATCATTCTTGTTCTTTTTATCTCGCCAAAGCAAATCAAGTCTCATCGGCCTCATTTTTTTTACAGCCTCTGCCATTTCATTACATTTCTTGGATTTCAAGTATCCACTAAATAACTTTCTCTGAAAAAGAACAAAAAAAAAGAGGTGTTAAACATATAACATAAAAATTGATGACAAAAAAACAAGAATGACATTATAAAAACATGAAAGATAATCACCAAATTTGAAGGGAAACTCTAATACTTGGCAATACTAGATCCTCCAACTGATGAATTATCCAAGATGTGATACTGGTTTCTCTTCATATCAAAGCACAGGACAAAAAAGTGCTCACTCTTGTAGATGGGAAAGAAAAACTGAAATCAAATAAAATATATACATTATTACCATGAGATTAAGTAGATTAAACAAATTGGTTTCATAATAAAAAATAAAATTATCATATCAACATCTTTAACATTTGGATGAGCCTCAGAACGATTGAATTTATCATCAAAATCATCTTCAAACTGCTTGAGATTATTCTTCAACTCCCATTTTTCATCACCTATGCACACGGTGTATTTCTGAACACAATAAAAATATATAAATACACTTTATAATTAAAAATTATAACAAATATCTAGTGAGCAACAAAATAAAAATAAATATGCATAACATATAAACTATCATCACAACTGTCAAGTACTAATATAACAATAACAAAAAACAAATTGTTCTACAAATAATATGCAACGATTGACAACTAAATATGCATTAGAAGAAAATAATCTATGCATCATTTAAGAACTAATTTAGCAACCGCAAACAACATATTGATATGGAAAAACTATGCAAGATCGAGCAATTAAATATGCATCAAAATAAATTATATATGCATATGTGAAAAACTAAAATAGCAACAATATAAAATTGAT